GATTTTTGGCTTAACGAAATAATTTTCAGTCGTGAAAAATGTTTTCTGCGTAATGAAGCGGTGATGCCAATTGAGATTTGCCAACAAATTTGAATGATTAGGTGTCTGTCGTCTCGTAGAGTGAGATGAACATACGAACAATTAGAAAGGACGTACTTTTTTCACTCCCATTGTTAAATCATTTGTATTCAATCCTTCCAACAAAAGGCACGCTTTGCATAGTCTTTGAGATGAAATATATTTACACCTGCAAATGATGATCAAGAAATAATTCAGTACTGATAGGTACGGTCAAGTATTTTATACCAGAAAATTTGTCTGAACATCTGAACTGAAATCCTCAATTGAACACACCTCTCGCAATTGGTTAGCTCGGGTAAGGCAACCTCTCCACGAATCGCCAAATCTTCACCTGAACGAATCAGATCTAAAATAGCTCGAGGCCTTATTCTTTCCAACTCTTTAATGAATGTTCTGAAATGTAAACCATATTGACCATAAACGAATAAACCGATTCACATCTCTCTCAAGTTTTCAACTTGTCTTTTCTGCTTTCTGTAATGGAAATCTAGTCAAATCAGCAGAATAGAACAACTTTGTCGGGGCAGAAAAACAATCAACGCATCAATCAGTTTCGGAAGTGAAACGAAGCAAGAACCTCGCATATCCTCGATATGCGTTTGGCGCATAAATGCATTCGGTTGAGAAGTAGTCAAGTTTCATGAAATGTGCATACATCACAATGTCCTTCTCGAACGTATACTTGAAGGGTTTAACGCGAGGTAAACATCCATCTGCACCTAAAACGGAACACACTGAACTTGACTTGTCACATTTCAGTCAGTGATGAATTCCTCTGGATTCAGATGATCCCAAACAATTTTGTTCTTTCAGCTAATGTTGTTGGGAATTGAAACATTTCTTCTATTGATAACTACCAACCCACTGGCAAGCATTCGACAATTGCAGAATGTTGTTTTTTGGTCGGTGACCACCAAACGATGAGCCACTTTCCGATCAAGTCGAGGAGACGAGATCGCCATCTATGTTCCGAAGTAGTCTACTGATGAGATTATACATGACAGATGCAAGGTCATGATGAACACCCTCTCCCCACTTATTTTTGATCTCAGTGTGATGGAACGTTGAACTTGAAATTCAATCGAATGGCACAAACCAGTAATAATACTGGTACATCGTTGTAATCTAGCAATATCACCCCTTAGTATATTCATTAGCACTGTTTCGGCCAGATCATCCGCATTGTGTCCAGTCACAAGTTTATTCGCTTTCAGCATCTGAGCTCCTCTAAAATGAAGCATCGAATGAATTTGATTGAAATGATTTGCACGTAGCGAACGACATGGGACAATTCCACATAAATTTCGGTGGATTATAGGAAGTTGTTGTTTTATTCACTTGATCATGATGAATTTCCTCTATTTCGAGAAATGAGACTATCTGAAGGTAATATATCCTTGTGAAATTATTGAAGTCGTCTGTTTTGTTCCGTTGACGTCGAAATGATAAGTGACTTTTCGTGTGCATTGTAGCTGGGATAGATAGAGAGAACATTCGCATGATCATTTAACCTGTCCAGTGCTTGACGTCTGAAAACTCCGCAAAATGTGCAGTTATTCTTTTTGCCGATTTTCGCAACAATCTCATCCATTGTCCATCCGTACAGGTCTTTGTATGACAGAATCGTCAGCTCAAGTCCATACTCCGTACGATTCCTTTCAACTGCTCTCAATGAATCGTCACGATATCCCTCCAAAGAACTTCATTTTGACAAATAAATGTCAGTATTTGATAGATTTAAATTATTGAGATTGTTCGACTGAATTCTTTCAGCAAACAAAAAAAGAGTCAGAAGCACTAAGGGAACCACGAAAGGAAATGCATCTGTTTGTTGCCTGAGAAGTTATCTAAATATATACTGCTGACTGCTCTGAGACTTCTGAGATGTTTTGCCTAAATGAAATGTGCTTTCCTTCCTAATGGAAAGAGACTTCAAAGGGTGTTTCGCTCAATAGCTCCATACGTTTGGGCTTTGAGATTTTGCTCGAAGATTTAAGCTTCCCTATAATCTTATGGCTGTCTTTCACCTACATTAAC